AGGAGTGGTGATGCATCAAGCGGGATTGTTGAGCATAATTTGGAGTGCCAGCAATTAACTACTTTAGTAGGTTTTGTTTTGCGGCAGTTGAGAAGTGCATTAAAAAATGCATACCCAATGAAGAACGAACGAATTATTTTTAAGCGCAAGTGCGTGTGTTTATTCGCTGCATTTGGTTTTGGGCGGGAGTGCAATATACAAGGGCGTGTGTGTGTTCGCTGTTCTTTGTTTATGCGGGAAATGCATAAGTGGCTTAAACACCGTTTTTAAAAGCTCGGCGCTAAATATTAAATAAAAACCTATTATAAGGCGAGATCAGCTAAATATTTTCACAATTTCTTCAAAACCACCTATAGTGTCCACCTGTTGTTGTCATATATTCAGCTATTCAACCTTGATAACATACTGTTTGATATTGGAAAAGTTTTGCAGCAGAAACTATCAGCATTCATATAACACTTTATTCGAACTATTGAATTAAGGCTTTCCTATCTCATCCTATTTCGAATCTTATAGCGTTTTCTTTTCTACACGAATATGTTGCCATACCGAGGTACGAAAGTCTTTTAAAGGTGCACTTCACCCTGTGAATTTGGCACCCCGCTTAAGGTTCAGTGTAGCCCTTCACACTTACAAAGGATCACAAACTGCAACCCTGAAATGCAATCAGCTTTTTTTTCGCGCGCTAAACGGAGTGCAATTTAAAGAAATTTTGGTGTCCAATTGAAAATTAATAAATACAAAATAATGCAAGCTAAAGAAGAAAGTCCCAATTGCAGCAAAATAGTTACAGGTAATATGAGAATGTTTTGATAGAAAAGTAAAAGCCGAAAATGCTAAACCTTTAAAAAACGCTTTTTTGCAGTATGGACGAAAGGCGAAACGAGACTCTTGCTGGATAAGTACGCTTCCTTTTCGCCGGACGTTGGGCCCTTCAAGCAGTTAAAGACAAAGAAGGAAATGTGGATGAAGATTGGCGCTGAGTTCGACGGGAAAAGTTGGAAGCAGTGTGAAGAAAGGTATAAGACCATCATGATACGAAAAAAGGCGGCAGTGGAAAACAACAGCAGCTCAGGTGCAAAACGCCAAAAGCTGCAGTTTGAAGAAGAGCTAGAAAAAATTTGCAAACTGGATGATTCCATTGAGCCGGCAATAAAACTGAGTTGCCACTGTGTAGTTAAAAAGAGGTCTCACCAAAAGAAAAGCAAAGAAAGAAAAAAACGATGCAAGAAACTCTAGTTGAAATTGCTGCTAGGAAAGAGGAAGCCAGGGAGAAGCGACACAAGGAAAGAATGGAGAAAGTTACAAGAATCGAAAGCCTTATGGAAAAATGTTTGACTGAAAACAAACCAGCTTAAAGCTGTGGGTGTGCGAGATATACTTATAAAATCAGGTTTGAATTGTATATGCTACTTATTATCCATAAAGTTATAATATATATTTTTTAGCTCTTGGTTTGCAGACTTCTGCAAATGGATGTAAAATGATTGCAAGTGTCTTTCGTTTCCGGCCCAACGTTTCGCCAAATAACATTTTCACCGGCGCCCTTCGCTTATTTACAACAACTGCCTTTTCTCCATCACCATATCTATGCCATTGATGGCCAAATCCACATCACCTTTATACGGCGTGTTCGAAAACACTGCTCTTGCTAGTGGTTCGAATTTCGGAGCAACTTGAACAGCAACAACGGCACCAACAGAACATTCGGTTTAAGTAAGCAAATTCGAATAATTAGCGATTAAATGCTGAAAAATATACACATCTTTTTTCAGCCTTGACAAACCTGTACCTGTACAAACATTCCCCAAGCCATACAATTATACCCACTTTGACGTTGCTGCCGGTGATTTTGTATTGCCAGATGAGTCGACCGTTGCACCAATCGTGGCATTGGCAAAAACACATTTATAGATTTAGGCGCATAACTAGCGTTTGCAATTATACGACAGTTGACGATTTATTTATTTCTTTTTAACTTGAATCCATTTTTATAATAATAGGATTCATTCGATAATAATATTATATATATATATATTATATATTATATTATATATATATATTATATATTTATATTACAAACAATGTTTTAAACATAACAAGGCAACCCATTGAGAGGCAGTCTGACGTTTGCCAACAATATAATTTTAAAATCAAAATTCAAACTGACACATACATTCTCATTTTCAATCTCAAACAACAACAATTGTGAACAATTTATTTTCAATTTTATATGATTTTAAAATGTTGGCAAACGTCAGAAAAAAATCATGGCCGACGAATTGAGAGAATGAATTTACCTTTTAATATTTTTATCATGATATAAACTATTTGTATTTGTATTGTAGAATTTGGTATAAATTCTATAAATTACAATACAATTATAATTTGTCCAGCACTGCGTTGGACCAGAAAGAGAAAATCACTTGAACTTATTTTATATTCTGTTAAAGCCTACAAACCAAAATATGTAAATACTGTAAAGGGATCCACAAGATGTTATAACGTTTAATAACGTCTAAAAATCATACATATATGTAATTTCATGAATTAAAAACTAAACTTTTAAGCAGCTGTAACATTGTATGATTCAACACGTTACTACTTCTCGTGATTCCCATAATTTTTTTAATTACCTTCAGTATCGGTCATACCTATAGCACGCTATTTCAAAGTGATATTGTGTGTCACTTATGTTTATTTATTTATTTACATAAGTGGCAAACAATATTATTTTGAAATGGTGTGCTATAGATATGACCGATACTGTACATATCTATGTACGTTCCAATTGAACTACTTTGAATAAGACTGAATTTCTTACTACTACTACTACTTACTACTAGAGTACTGAATTACTTTGTTCCTTTTTGAATCAAATAAACATGATCTCCCTTATTTGCAATAAATATGAAAGTTTGTATTAAATAAAAGAAAAAGCTGTTTTTAATTATTTATTTATTTATTTTGTCTTCGATTTTGATTAATTTTAATAATAATTAATAATTATAAAAGTTGTGATCCAAAGCAGGCACGGCTTAAACAAACGCGTCAAAAAAGAGACTTTATTTGGCTTCTTTTTATTTCGCCAAGCTCGGTAAGAACGGAGTCACTTACTTCGGATGGAAGATTTTGCTCCTGAACGGTACAAGGTTCAACGCAGTATTCTTCCCTATCAATAACATCTTGTTTGTCTATGCAAATATTATGAAGTACACAGCATGCCATTATAAACTTCGCTGTAGTTTCAACTTCATGAAAATCTAATCACATAAGCTGCCGGAAGCGACATTTCAACAATCCAAAGGCGTTTTCTATTCGAACCCGAGTTTGACTAAAATTGTAATTGTACGTCTTTTCATGCTCAGTTAAATTCCCGTAATCCCCATACGGCGTTAACAAGTAATTTCGGATCGGATAAGCAGAATCACCTAAAAGATGATATTTTGGTAGACAAAGCTTTTGAAGTTCCTTACCAATGAAGGGTAACTTCAATACACGCGAGTCATGCACTTTACTCGGCACACTAGTGAAAACATCTATAAATTTTAAATTTGCATCACATATACCCTGCATAGTCACGAAAATGGTATCGTGCCTATTTATATATGTTGAGCGAATTTTATGCCTCGGCGCCCTTGTCGAGATGTAGGTTCCATCAATGCAGCCTAATACGTTAGGGAAGCCACAGATTTCCGCAAAATCGTTTGCTATAATCTCTTTTTCAGCAACACTTTGAGCGAATTTTATGATGTTCGGTGAAAGCTCAAGCAGAAACGACATAACATTGTTTAGCACGTTATGGGCACAAGAATATGACATATTAAATATATTGCTAACTTCGCGTCTAGTTGTTTTATTGCTGCAAAACCTAAATAAGAAAATTATTTACAATTAGTGCATACATACATATAGCAATCATTCCATTGTTACCATAAAAACAATAACACATGCGTATTTGGTGGTGCTTGTGGTCTCCCCCCTTTGTAGTTTCTCCTTACGTAGTAGGAACTGCTGGTATATTTTGCAATTAAATATTCCGCACTTTCACGTTCAACGCGAAAATTTCGTTTAAACTACAAATGCATAAATATAAAAATATACAGTATATAAACGAATGAAAGGAGTGTTTAGTATTTTGCCCACTAGTTTGAGGGCGGTAAGGGGAAATGCATGGACGTTCTTCATGAAACTCCACCCACTGGATAAAGCGTAAACCAAACTTCACAAAGATAGTATGCTTCTCTGAAACTTGGTGAGCGAAATACTAATCCGTTCCCGTATGAAAAAAATACCACGCGACCTGTGTACAAGTTTACTTTATCTATAAAGTCCTTTACACGTAAGCAATTCACTTTTGGATGTAAAAGCATGCCGAGTTCCTCATCATCTGAAGAAGAGGACGACGACTCCAAGAGGTCATTTATTACTTTTGTTCCTACAAACAAGCAGCGTTTTTACATTTTCGCCAACAATTCTCTTCCACCTGTGACACCAAGAGTTTCTGTGTAAGTTACTACAAATATGTAAACTCCACTTTCTGGGAAACATATTTACCTGACAAAATACAATCTATTTTCCTGATTTAGGTTATTAAAATGTACACAGATCCTGGGCAGCTACAATATTTTAATAATTTTATGCCTAAGCACAAAGTTTGCATTTTCAACTCACGAGCGCCAAAATGAAATGTCAAAAATGTACACACTTTATCTGTGCTGCTTTGACACTGCCGATATATGCGTGCTAAAAAGAGACAAATAAGGTACTATTTTTATGTGATGTTATTATTGATCAGCTGATTGAAAGGGCAATTATCTCCCCCGTCGTTAGCAGAGAGGGCGAAATATGTTGCATTTTCCTATATTTTTAGGGTAACCCTGTGAGAAAAGAAAGCTCTGCCCTCTGCAAAGATTGCATTCACTTTACAAAAGAAGACAGCATTTTAAAGTGACGAAAACGCTATTAGTTTCTGTTGAATTCATTACGGAAAAAACACGCTCAATAAAGCATGTGAGTGCGGCAAGGATAATAATATGAATTTACTTATATTTCCAAACATTTTATTGCCTGTTGCGGTTTTCACTCCGTAAGCAATTATCCAAAATTCTTCAGAGTCGGATGGAATGGTTCTGAGAAAAGTTATTCAATGGGAAAGTTAAAAGATTTAAATATTCAGTTTCCGCTGCTTTTCTTTCCTTCAAAGTCAAATAGTGAATTGGCTGGTCCTTGAAACTCGCTGTCTTGTGATTCACACACTTTTCTTGTCACAAAATCAAAGCTTTTTTAAAAGTATTTAATTGACTAGGTAACCGTTTCAAAAGTTCTTCGATTAGGGTAATCAAACAGTTTTGACAGTCTTTTAATATGCGCCTTAAGTCAAGTTTATCGCGCAGTTCATTAGCCTATTCTGTAAAATTATCGTGGAAACTAAGTTTTGTGTATTTTTATAACTGGAAACAATTTATTTGATGGAAAAAATCGCCAAAATTCGCCAGTGGCGACTTCCTAAATTTTTACGCGCAAATATCAAAAAAAAGCCAAATTGGCGCGAAATCGCCATATCTGGACACTCTGCTGTAAGTCAAAAACAGAAAAGATCTAACAATTTTTTTTTTACAAATATTTTTTCAATAAATGCAGTTTTCGAAAATATAAACGAGATGGAAAACACTCATTGAGAACATATTTTTAATGCAACCTGAATATTTATAAGGTTTAAATTACAAAAATCTAAATTATAAAAATGTTTTTTTTAAAGCTCTAATGCCACTACGCTTACATAAAAAATTTCATCAACTTTCCTCAAATACTTTCAGAGAAAATGAGTTTTGAAAAAAAGATTGCTTAAAAATATGTTTGCTTATAAAAACTTTAAAAACTAAAATTATTAAAAAAAATTCTCAGGATCCCTTTCACATCTATAAACCTCTCTACCCACAAATTTTCACGCAAGAATTCGAGCTTGAGTGAAATCCGAGGTCCAGTTGAGAAATTTTCACCCAGTTATAAGATGTGCCGCGCACACCAGCCCATCGTAAATGATGTCTTTAAAAATTAAGAAACTAAAAACTATTTTAGAGAATACCGCAATGTAGTGAGAAAGCTGCGGACGCCATCAATGCACAGACTGATATCGTCACAAAATTTATGGCTTCCCATATCTGATTGTCCAACTCATCTCAGAAAATATAAAAGAAGCCAAAATTGGCTGGCCATTTATTGATGAATTTTTAAACAGCTTGAGCATAATCAAAAATATGTACAACCGTAAAAATACCAGAAAATAATTTGTTATTTAGATAAGATTTAGGTTTACGCCTCTAAGCACTGAAAGGTTGAGACCTTCCAATTTTATTTTCCCCGTAAACAAGACTGAGAGATTTACCTGATGACAGTGCACAGACATCATCCGCGTAAGCTTGGATGTGAACTACCACACCACAAGAGAGGTGAGAGCACCCCGCCCAGAGGGCATCCTCTCCCAACCTCTGCCATGGTACAAAGGCTAGCTTGCTCCCCCGCGGTTAGCGCTCTCCTAGATAGCATGAAGTGAATCCATCTTATGATGGTTTCGTTCGCACCATGTCTTCTGGCCGCAAAGCACATGTTGTCAAAATTAGCATTGTCATATCAGCAAAGACTACCATTGCGTACTCACCTGCTTCCAGCCCCACCTCAATCTTTGTTACAAGGTCATGTATAGCTGATTCTCCAGTGCTCCTCTTTTCGGGATTTTAAAGGCATATTAAGAAGTTTCCTGGACCTTTTTCGAAGTTTGGTGAGTTCAGCGTTCCACCATGGGACCGCTTTTCCCCGCCTGCTTCTTCTTAGCGACAATCAATCAAAGTACTCGTTGATTTAACGTTTTTTAATTTAGAGATATTTGGTATCATCGTTTCAAGGAAACCAAAATTCTCCCAGTCCGCCTTTCGAGGATTCCGACCTTTTGGCCACACACAATACCACAGAAACATTATCAATTATAGAAGCATTCTATGATAATTGCGATATGAACGCCACTGTAGCAGACTATTGGGAGTCAACAAAATTTAGTCACAGTACTCTGTACCAGCCATATAAAATGCGACTGCCGCTCGAAAGTTAGCGTAAAGCGAGCGTTTTCGACTTTAAAATACATAATTAATCACTATAGGTCAGGTGTGAGTGATGATATCACTGAAGCGATATTAATGTTGCGCCTAAATTAGTTTTCGCATAATCTATTAACAGCGTTTTCTTAACTATTTGTTAATTATTTAATAAAAACCCTTCGCATAATTCTGTGTACTCCTACATAAATTTTGCTACAAAGCTCTCATTATAAGATGCAAATGTATGGTATACAATTTTCTTCTTAAATAACGAAACTAAAAAACTATTGATATTTGATAAGTTGTTTTTTTTAATAAATAACGAAACGAAATTTTTTTGTTTATATAGTTATGCAGCCCTGGTATAAACTAAGAATTTTTGCTTTACAAACCGTTTTTGCTTTTCAACGCTTTTTTGGAATCGACTAACGCAAAAGTTCTTATCAGGCGCCCGAAGCAAAAGGGAATTGTCTAGTAAATAATACAATTCTTAAAACGTTTTTTAATTTCTTATTACCAGGAAACGGATTTTTAGGACCTAAAAACCTATTAAAAGGGCAAAATAAACTAACGAAAAGACAAAACAAAATACCGAAATAGGCAGGAAAAGGCACTAGATCTCGCAAAAAGGCAAAAGAAGGCACTAAGCAAAGACAAAAACCGAAAAATAATAAAAAAAAACATTTAGTTTAGAAATGTTTATTTTACAAGTAAAAAGGGAAAAACATGAACTAGTTTGCACAGGGCTCCCCCTGTCGACAAATTTATTTTTAATTGCATTCGACGATCTAAGCCGACTACTGCTGAACCACAAAAACATAAACCATTGCCTCTACGCGGACGACTTGTATTTAACGTGCAAAGGCAAGGATTCAAAGGAAATCTCAAGACATTTTGAAGATGCCCTACAATCTATTAGTAGGTAGTCACAACGCTGTGGTGCAAAGATTTCGACAGATAAATCTAAACATTTACATGTGTGCCGAAAAAACTATTGTAATAATATTGAAATTAAACATAGTTCCTATAGTATTGATAATGTACAAATTAATTTGGGAATGCAAACATAACTGTAATACTCACTGTAATAGTTTAAGAACAAGTCTAGCTGCCAGATTAAATATCATAAAGTATTTATCCTCAAATAAAAGCCAAATGCATACTAACACTCTTCTTAATGTAACCAAGCTAACAATCCTCCAAAATTGACTACGGCTTACCGATCTACCGAAAATGTTCGAATTTTCCTTGGCACGACTTAAAGGCGCGTACCATGCAGCCATCAGACGGAGTCTCGGAGCATTTAGTACTAGGCGCACAGAAAACTTACTAGCCGAAGGAGGCTTTCCTTCCCTCGAGGACAGCATTCACTTATAAGTTGCAGAAAAATACTAAAAATCTACTGCAACAGCAACTCAGCCTTGCACAAAGAAGTCCAACTTCTGAGAATCCGCAAACGGACAATGAAATAATCTTCTGCTCTCAATAATTTATATAGGCCGAACGCACCGTGGACTTTTAAATAAACTTTCTTCGTCAACTGCCTTACAACATACCGAAAACACACAACAGATGTATACGGGCGACTGTTTAACGGAACAATCCAGCCATTCCGAGAAAATAATTGGGAGGTGCTGTTCACATACGGCTCCAAGTCTGAACACGGAGTAGGCTTCGCGGTAGTGAACACCACTGGGGCCACTCTGATACATGGAATTTTACCTCCATTTGCCACCGCTTATGATGCTGAAGTCCGGGCGATATTATCAGCTCTGCAATTAGTGAAAACACTTAAGCAAAAATTTATTGTGTGCGCCGACAGATTTTCAGCATACGAATCCGCCAAAACTATGAAGAACACTTCCGAACCAATAACTGTATTAAAACAGCTTATCTTGCAACTAGGAAGCAGAATACAACTTATGTGGATCCCTGGACACGCGGGAATATATGGAAATGAGTAAGCCGATAACGCTGCAAGA